CTTCTCCCACCGACTCTGCAAACCCAAAGGTAGGAAAGGGAGACACAAAAAAGAAGTGGAGAGGGAGGGTGGGGACAGAGAGACGCAGCAAGCCTGGGATGGGGGCTGGAGGGCTTGGGAAGAGAAGGAAGGCAGGAGGGACAGAGGGAAGAAGAAAAATGGAGGAAATGAACAGGACGAGTAGCGGACACTTTACAAAAACCCCAGCCTTCCTTCCCGCCCAACCCCACCAAAATAAAACTACCCCCCCTTAAAAAAATAAATCAACCCAGGGCTGTGAGCACGTGCCCTGCCCGGGGCGGGCGCAGAGCTGAGAGGGACAGACAGCCCCAGGACTGACGGCGCCGCCACTGGACGGCAGGAGGAAGGGGACGAGCACGGGGTTTCCTTTGCTATTTTTTTCTTTTTTCTTTCTTTCTTTTCATTTTTTTTTCTTTCGTTCGTTCTTTTTTCCCTTTTTTTTTTTCTTTTTTTCCTTTTTTTGCGTTTCCTCTTCGTGAGAGAAGTCTGAGGCAGTCGGGGAGCGGGTCCCCAGAGCCCCGGCAGGGAGAGGGCCGCACCCCCCTCCCGGGCCGTCCCGGGAGCGGCAGTTGGCAGTGGGGCGCGGTGCCGGGGCTCAGACGTAGTACTCCTTGTCTTTGTTCTTCTTGGCCTTGCTGGGCGTCTTGGGAGCAGCCGGGGCCTTCTCTTTCACCACCGCCCCGTTGCTCTGGGCCGAGTTACTGATGTAGTTCCGGCTCTGGTCCACCTGGTAGGAGCCCTCGTCGCGGTTGCGGTACTTGTACATGGCGTAGAGAAGGATCAGGATGCAGAGCGCCGCGGCCGCCACGATGCCCACCACCATGCCCGTGGTGCTGCTGGACTCCCGGATCACCTCCACGGCGCCCGGTGGGCCCCGCTCCCCGGGCCCCGTGGGGTTGGCTGTGGGCAGACGGGGGAAGCCGGGGGCGGAGGTCACGCCGGGGCGCAGGGGAGGGGGCCTCCGCGGCTCGAAAGACGTGGGGGCCCCGGGCCCCAGGGGGGGGTTCTCCAGCAAGGGCTGCAGCGGGTCTCGGTGGTTCATTTTGCCCGCAGGCAGGTTGGGGGCCGGGGCGGAGGGGGCTAGCAGCACCCCGGGGGCGCCCGTGGCCCCATCTGTCCTGAGGTTGGGCCGGGGAGCGGGTTTGCGGGGTGACAGGAGGGTGGTGCGGTCCGTGACCAGGGGGAAGGTGGTGTAAAAGTCCTCGTCGTCCGTGGGGGGGAGGCTGGAGTCAAAGACCTCCCCGGACGCAAAGCCAGAGGCCTCGATGGGCTCCTCGCAGTCGCTGTCGTCCTGCTCGGCCTGGCACGGGCCCCCGGCAGGCGGGCGGCGGGCCGCGGGTGGGGGCAGGGTGTCTTGGGTGGCGCCCACGCCCGTGAGGAAGGGATAGAAGGTGGGGGGTGGGGGCACGAAGGGGGATCGGGTGGCCACGGGAGGGGGGTCTAAGGAGTCCTCCGTGATAATGGGCAATATTAACTCTCCTCCTAGAACAAGAGAGAGAAGAGAAAAGACAGGGTGTCAGCGAGGGCCCAGGGTGCAGGCGGCCGGCACAGAGAGAGAAACAACAGCCTCACACACCCAAATCGGTTCCAATTGGCTTTGGCGGAGACTAGAGCGGGCCGGGCCCGCCCGCCAGCCTGCCGGAGCACTGCGCTTTAAGCGGGCAGCGGCTCAGATGCCCTGGGCACCCCACGCACGGGCTCTGTGGCTCACTGGGTTTTGGTCTTTTGTCTTAAGAAACCAAAAGGAACAGAAAGGAAAGGAAATCGAAAAGAAACGGAAAAAAAAAAACTCTACTGGTTTAAGGCTTAAAAACAGATACAAGAGCAGCATTTAAACAAACCTAACAACAGTATCTTTTAGGGTTTTTTTTTTTTTTTCTAGATTTTTCTCTTTTTTTGTTTTTTTTTTTTTTTTTGCTTTTGTTTTTAAAAAAGAAGATAGCATACCACGGAATTCAGGCAACTTACATCAACAAATAGGCCGTGTGATTTTAGCATGAAGAAAAAAATTACAAACAGAGCTGTGTAAGCGGGTTCTCCCGGAAAAAATAAGAAAAAACAACTTTTCCGTACAACGTTTTCTATCTGTTTGGTATCTCCCTCCCTCACTCTTCTCTCCCTGGACATCTTGCTTCCTCCTGAATACTCTCTCTCCTCCCTCACTTGTGCCCTCTCCCCCTCATTAAACACAAAGCTAAAGTCTGCACAGTGCAGGCTGGCATTGAGAAACTGTTACCACCACTTGGTGTCAGCGTGCGGGGGGAGGTGGGGAGCAGTGGGAGGAGGGCTGGGGGAAGAGGTACATGACTGGCAGCTGTGTAGGAATTGCTACAATGGGTGAGAGGACTTGAGAGGGGATGATCATGGGAAGGAGCTTTGAAGGCTAATTGCAGGCTGGCCATGGGACAAGAAGTTGAAGGTGGGAGGTGACAAGGTCCATGAGAAAGAGTGGGCAAGGAGGAGACAGAAACATTGGAGAAGGGTCCTGTCCCATAGGACTTTGGGTGAGTTGGTGAGAAGCCATGTAGAGGCAGGGAGGTGGGGAAGGGATGGGAGTGAGGGAGGGAAGTGGACAGGGACATGAGTCCTGAGCTAACCCTAATTCCCCGACTTCCTCTTTCTTCACCCTCCACCTCTGACCCCCACTGGCTTCCCCCCTCCCCCTCCCCAGAACCCCCATGGGCCGCCAGGACCTGACCAGGGCTTGACAGCCTCTGGCCCTCTTATTATTGTTAAAACAATAATAAAACAACGGAAAGAAGAAGAAAGCAAAAAAAGAAAAGAAAATACATACACAGCCATCTGGGAAGGAAGCACTTGCTAATACAGGGCCCGAGGGGTGGGGGTGGGGGTGGGGACTAGTGGGGAAGGTTTGGTGGGGGGATGATTAGGTCTCCTCTCTCCCTAGGTCTGATAACTGAGGTACCCTGGGCATAAACTGCAATTCCCATCAGCCCCAAAGGGTGGGAACTACAACTCCCATTTGCCCTTGGAGGGGTGTGGACCACAATTCCCATCAGCCCCCAGGACAACAACTACAACTCCCATCAGCCCACTGCCCCTTCCCCAAATACTGCTACCCACTGGCGTGGAGTAGAGACAGCTGGAGTCTGGCCCTAGGGGATTGCTGGGAGGGCTTCCTCCTCTTAGAGGGGCACCTCTGGGTCTGATTGGTGCTGGAGATTTCCTCTCTAGCTCTCCCTCCACCCAAGCCCTGCCCCCATCTGAGTGCCTCTCCCTGGTCTCTGCAGGGTCCAGTTTTCATGACTCCACAACCCCCTACCCCCTCCATTGGAAACATCCCAGGGCCCCACTGCAGCCAAGCCAGCCATGTGCCACTGCCACATCTTTGTGTCTCTTCTCCAGCTCCCTGCTCCCTAAGCCCTCTAGTCTCTGTGCTTACTGTTCAAACACTGCTGATCTTCACATCCCAAGCTCCAGCAACCTGGCAGAGCTGTCCTTGGCCACACTAGCCAGCCACAGCCAAGATCTTGCCATTGAACTTATAGCCTTGCCAAGCTTCTCAGGCTGTCCCTCCCACCAGGCTCCCCTCTCCCCCTGGGCCAGGGCTCACCTGCACCCCAGACTGTGAAGCCCCAGGGCACCTGGCCCTCCTGGGGCTCAGCCACACTGAGAAACAGAGCCAAAAGCAGACAAGCATGTTCTGTGGAGCTGGGACCATCCAACGCTGGCCTTTTATGGAGGAGGATGCTTAGGCCTGGGGTGGGCAGGACTTCCCAAGGTCACTAGGGCCAAATCTCACAAGGAGCCTAGAAAGACCTGATTCATCCTCCCCATGCCTGTGGTAATCTGCTTGACTCTTAGCTTGATTGTTAACCTGGGAGGCCCCCCTGTGTGACTGCGGACAATCTTCTCTCACTCTCCGGACTCAGCTTCCTCATCTATAAAATTAAGGTATTGGGCTCCAGGCCCAGGGTAAGGCCAAGGCCTGGCTCCCACAGACCTCCAGCCTATGGATGAATAATTTGTCCCTCTACCACCTCCTGAGCCCTGGACCCACTAGGGATGGCCCAGCACCCTGGTCCCTGGGTAAGGGCTACACTCAGCTCCCAGCTCTTGGGGGGAGGCTGGTGCCTGTGTCCAATCATGGCAGGGTTCCCATCCCTGCTGGACCATACCCCTGCCCTCTCCCTGACCTTTGCCTTCTGTTTAGAGCACCTTGCCCCTGCGGATATCTCACTCATCCTTCAAGTCCAGCCAAATACCGCCTCTTCCAGGAAGGCTTGAGGCCCATCTGTCTGTCTCCCTAGCACCCAGCACTGGGCCTGGTATCTGGGATGGGGTGGGAGCCCTTCTCATGGGCCAGAGCAACTGGCTTCTCAGGCACTGCTGAGTTCAGCGTGACAGGCGCCTTGCTCCATGGGCCCAGCTCTCACCCACAGCCATCTCTACCTTCGATCTTACAGGGGGTCACCAGCTGCTCCTGGAAGCTTCAGGATCAGGCTTGTCCTGGGCAGGTTTGTGGCCCTCAACCAGCTGCCCATAGCTAGGGCCCAGGGAGGAGTCCCTTGCTGGGGGACATGTCATGCCCTAAAGGGGCTGATCAGGTCAATCAGGGCACAGACCTTGTCTCTCTACTCTCTCACCCCCAGATACACTGGGGAAGTGGGGGGGGGGGCTTCAGGCCTTGGGCCACAGACAAATCCTGCCTAGCCTGAGCCCTCTGCAACCATTTATCCCAACTCACTGGTTCTTTAGGTCCTTGGGGCACACAGCAGCCCCCCCCAGGTTCCCCCTGTGCAGTCTCCTCCAGGCTCCAGAGCCCTCCCAGGCCTGGTCACATTGACTCTTGCCCCTGCCTTTCAACCCCAACTGTGTCCTGGCCTCCATATCTGGCTCTCAGCCCTGTCCCCATGTCCCCAGCTTCCCTAGGAGCTTTTCCTGGGCCCTGCTCTGTCCACGGCTTTGACAGCATCTCCTGAGGGTGTCCTGTACTCACCCACATCCTCCACGTGAGCATCTCTGCCCCCCCCAACAGCTCCCACTCTCTCCAAAAGATAGCATGCTACCAAGACCCCACACTGTCTTCCTTTCCCCACATTCACTCAAGCCGATCTGGGCTCTGTGGCCAGCAAGTCATATGCAACATAGGGTATTGGGTTTTCCTGGGGTCATACACTGGTCCAGGAAGGGTCAGGCAAGCTTGCCCTGATAAGGGTCTGGAGAAAGGGAGGACCCCTCAGAGACTCCTCACTGTGAAAGTCCAACCAGTGGCTCCCTGGGCCGCCCTTCTCACCGGGCACTGGAGGGAGCAGACTCGCAAAGACTTGTGGTACCCGGGACCCCGGGTTCAGTTCTACAAGGGTGCACCCAGGGATGGGGTGCCCCTGGGAGCCTGATAAAGAGCCTAGGCCGCTTCCCTCCCCTCCCCCACGTCAGGCAGCTACAGCGCTTAGAAGTACTCACAGGGGCATTTATCACAGATGCCACCCCCCTCCACTCTTTTTAAGTTGAATGTCAGGGCACATCAGTCCCACTTGCTAGAGAGAATTCCATCTGGCCAAGGAGACCAGTGGCCATTCCTGAGCACCCCTCCTCCCCCAGCTCCCCTACCTCTAGGGACTGCTGCACCAGCAAGCTGAGCTCTTTCTGCCTTTAGGGCACAGAGGCTCCTGACTGGAAATCTACCCAAGAACCCCATTCCCACCCAAGCAGGATGTGCCCACCCCCAAAGGAGCACGGAGAACTGAGGCTGAGTGTCAGAGGCTCAGCAGTCAGCTGGCTGAGGCCCCACCCACCAGCGCTGGGTACCTGCCCGGGCAAAGCCATTAGCCCACAGGGCACGTCGTGTGGGGTAGAAAAAAGGCAGCCCCTCAGTGTGGCCACGGCCGTTCAGGTACATGACCTGGCAAATGGTCTCTCTGTACACTATCAGAAAA